TTGAACAATGAAACATTTGTTCCATAGCCATCGATTGGGGAATCGGATTCGCCATCTTCTGCTGTTACACTTTCACTGCCATTTTCAGATTTGAGAAGCGTTCCCTAGATAAGTTCAGTATATTCTGGGCAGCGGTTACTAAACCACTGACATTCGGAAGGATCTGGTTCAAATCCTGGTGCCACCAACATCCAAATGTTATGAAAAATTAATTTAAATAAAAAATTCTGTTAAATTTTCCAATTGCGGTCACCCCTCGGCCGGGACTGTCCACCCCTCCGAGTGTATTTCGGACATGAAATAAAGCTTCTCAAAACCATCACCCGTTCGGAGGCGACTTGGTATAAACTGTAGATCCCTCCATTTGTTGGAATACATCAAGACGCAAAACCAAAAATTTGAGAAGGAGCTCGGCCGAAAAATCGCTTCAGCGGTTACAACAAAGCATTGCCCTTGTAGACCAGCATCTTAAGGTCTTCGTCCTTGCATCTCGGCCGATTTCTGTTTTCATGAGCAAAAGCGTATTGCTTTCCCCTTCAGCTCTCGGTATATATTCCATCCCACACTGTAGAGGGCAAGCCTGCGAGTTGGGCAGCTTGTTTTCTCTCCACTGTGACACGACAGCTCTCATTGTACTAGCCGTTTTTGCAACCTTTTCGAAAACCAATGGTTTATTCAGAAGCCGTCCATAGTGAGATAGAAATTCTGTCCCACAGTTCCATTATACCGAGTTGCTGATGAGTGCTTGAATACTCCCAGATAACAGGATTGCACTCCTTCGACAGTCTGCTTTGACTGCTGCTTATCCGTGTGCATGTTGATGGTTTGCTGCACAGAGACGGATTCGTATTCTTGCTGCGACAAAGTAGTGATCTGAGTCGATCTGGTTTTGAATTTCTCTATAAGGGCGCATCCAGGCAGCTTGATGAATTTTTTGCCTGTAATCATAATTCGGGACCCAGCGATGTCGATCAGTCACATCTCATGTAGGGATGTTTCGTTGTGGAGGCTGAATCTTTCAATAGTTGTGCTGGAGATACTTTCATTATTTGCTCTGTCGTTAAAGCAGCCAAGTCAACCACATAGTGGTGGGAAAAACTCTGTAATTTCTTTCAGTCGGGATGCGGGCGCAAATCAGCGATATTTTGAATAATTTCACTACGATCCGAATGATGGCGAGACGTTCTTTTTTGGCAGCAGTGATATCGGTTTTTATTCCTAATAGAACATCGACCAGCTGGGCACCTTCCCTATCAAGAAACCAGATATTCCCGGTGCATGCTCTCAAATTGTGATCCTTATTTCGTTTTTAGTGAGCGCTGTCAAAAGGGAGGTATCTCATCCTAGGCGTTGTGCCACTTTTCATTAGACCTAGTCGGCACACAACCTCGCTAGGTGAGTAAGCTTAAATTATCACACATTTACATAGCAACAGCTTGGCTATCAGAGTGTATAATAATTGATGGCCTTATGACCACAGATTTGCGATAATCTCATGTGAATTGAGTGCGTGGACCCCAGGGACTATCTCTGTCTATTCGTTGCAATCAGAGATTCAGAATTGCATTTATCTACAGTTTTAATAAAAATTAAACGGATTTCCTGCAGCGGAGACGATGTCGCTCACAATACCGAAAGAAACTTTCTGATTACCCAATTTACTTGGCAAACAAAATTTTTCGTCGCATTTATCGTCTCGGCACAATATCTGAATTAAGTACATATGCTTGTGTTGTCAAAAGTTTTTATCGCATGCCAATATTCATTTGCTCGAGACAGTTTGAGTGTCTCTACTTTAGACTTTTACCTAAGCAGAAATGAATACCAGTTAGACTGCTTAAATCAACCATTTATATGCACCAAGTCTATTGTTGAGTGCATTGTTGTACTTTTAAGTGCCAGCTCACTATTTTTCTGCCACTTGCAGACATTTTTAAGTACTTTCACACAAAAAAGTTTGTAGCTGGTACAAAATATAATAAGAAATAAAACAGCAGAAACACTTTAACCATTTGCCTTGTATTTTGCGTACTTTAAGGCTCTGCAAAGCTTATATATTTTCCATTTTTCCTATTCAATTGCAGACTAAAAGTTTTTGAAACTCTTCGACAAGTCACTGTTATTTTGTTTACTCTCTCATTCGTTTTAGTTGTTTTATATTTATCATTCATTTGTTGGATATTTTCTTTTATATTTTGTTTTATAGTTTCGCACAAGTTTTATTTATTTGTGTATTTTCTTATTAATATCCCTTTTGTTCTCTTCATCTTGTTCAGTCATTTATCATTTCGGTCTAAATTTTCTATCTAATTTGTCAAAATATTTAATGCTATCATTTGCAATTGTCTGCTGCTTAACTTTTCTTTTTCACATAACGTAGGAAACTTCTACCTTTACTTCTTGATTACCATCAAAATATAAGTTTTTGTACAGAGAATACAGTTGAAAGTTCAAGCTTGAAGGAAGCCTCTAAGAAAAATTATGAATTTCTTTACTTTATTTTATTTAGCTTACTTTTTTATTCTGCTTCCATTTCTCTTTTTCTTCATTGTATTTTATTTTATTTAAAATTATTTTAATTTATTTTATTTTATCTCAATTACCTTCATTCTAATTTATTTTAATTTCTTTTTTTTTCCTATTCTTTTTTTATTCAAATTCTTTTATTTTAAATAAATTGAACTATTTTTTTCATTTCATTTTCTTTTAGTTTATTTCTCCTATTTTATATAATTTAATTTTATTTTCTTTTCTTTCTTTATATAAATATTTTTATTTTCCTTAATTTTTTTCATTTTATTTTATTTTCTTTTTCAATTTTTTTTAATACTTTAATTTTTTTTTTAATTTTTATTTTATTTTATTTTATTTTATTTTATTTTATTTTATTTTATTTTATTTTATTTTATTTTACTTTATATTATTTTATTTTATTTTATTTATTTATGTTTTGATTTGTTTTATTTTTTCATTTTATTTTGTTTTATTTTCTATGATTTCATTGTATTTAACATCTTTTCATTTAATTATTTATTTTTAGTTTGATTTATTTTTTTTTTCTCACCTGTATACCACTCACTATCTCTTACTCACTGCATGGCATCCAACAACTTTTTTAAGATTCGGTTGCATATTTTCAGGCAACATCTATTTGAATCGGCTGTTTTTGGGATGTTTTATTCGTTGCAAAAGTTTGTTTACTTTGCTTTCGAAATCGTTTTTCTATTACCAGCTGGCAGAATAAATTTTCATACTTGGACAGGACATGTTTCTACACAGACAATTTTTTTTTTTAAATACAAAATACTAAAAGAGAAAAAGACGAATACTGTACTGCGTTCAATTTGATTTCATTTCATGCTGTGATATTCATGCCAAAGTTTTGGTGCAAAATCTGTCAGCTTCGAAATTTGTGTAGGCGGTGGTTAGCTGAGATTGCATTGTGTTTTGCATGCGTATGTCCCACTAAGTTCCAAAAAAACACCAAACAGTTTCTTTCAACAATAAAAAAAAACTTCGCATGAATATGCAATATTTATCAACTTGCTTCTATGTAAATAACTGTTGTGTATTTTGGTTGTCAACATGTGTCTATGAATTATTTATTGAGTCGAGGAAATTTAATGTGCAATTTTAAATATTTTACATTCACTATAGTGATGATGATGAGTTCGGTGTTAGGGCGAAAGTGTTCATAGATATTTTTAATGACACTAGGAAAAGAAAAGTTTATTTTCAGTTAAATTTCTCTAAAACTCAAGTACACAGTTTTATAGCCTACACTTAAATATATTAATTTACGTAAGTGCATAAGTAAGTTTGTGGGATTGAGCCATGTGAAGAAGTTTACGCAAATATGGTAGCTTTTGACTGTTATTCACTGGGTTGAGTCTTGATATTTTACTAACGAATGGATGAACGTACCGTTTATTCTAAGCCGCATGAATTTTTCTGAGGATGCACTGCTTTCTTATTAATTTTGAAACATCCGTTTGAAAGCAAGCTTAAGTGAGAACACGTACCCCCCCCCCCCTGTTGTTTGTTTTAAGAACTGCTTGTTGTAAATAAAAAATTGCGATGGCTATGTGTTTGATCCTGGTTTATGAATGTGTAGCCAAAACCCTGGTTTATGAATGTGTAGCCAAAATCCGTATCAAATTCGATATTAAAAGTGTACAGAGAAGGTTTTTTTGGCACAATCGGAAATTTTAGCCTCCATGGCAAAAGATCCCAGAAGTGTTCGCGTCACGCAAAAAATTCGATTGTCTAATGCGGTCACCATATGTCTATTGATATTCTAAAACACCAGCTCGGACCACTACATTGTCGTGGCGAAAATCCAAAACCATCCCTGTTCAACAAAGAACGCCACTACACCTGAAGATGGTCGCAGTGATAAACAGCTGGTTTCATATTCCACATGCAGTATTCCTGAGCAGTTGCTTCTACATCTATAGCTCTAAGTTTGATATTACCGCAAAAAGGCTCTACCAATATTGGGATAGACCTTTCCGAATGGTTCGGCCCCAAACGGGGCTTCAGACAAAGTGACTCTCTTCAGTAAAACTTCTTACTAATAACAACTACACAATTAAAAAATCAGTCTAAATAAGAACGCAAGATGTATGGGTGTGATAATCACTGAGAACAAGACGAAATATCTCCGGTCATCAGTCACTACTTGGGCGACCTTAAAGTCCCAAATAATCTCGTATATTTTGGAATCAAGAAGAAGAAAATCTGTGTTCTGATGTTATGTTCTATTCGCCTTTGCGTAGAACAGGTTTAGAGCACTTTTTCTTGAAGACCACCTTTTTCGAAGTTCAATGATAGCAGCAAATCAAGTTTTACTTTCAATTTTTGTAAGCAACTCAATATCAAGAAGAACTGCATAAAATGGATTGAATGGAGCAAAAAAAATTGTAAATTTTTAAACCTTAACTGCGGAAAATTGTTATAAAAAAAAATGTCGTAGAAATTATGTTTTTATTTTAACTTACATCAATCCAATGCTCGCCGGGAAATACCGCTATCAATTCCGTATTCTCATCTAAAGTACGGAAATACTCCTCATCATCGATTTCCGTGCCATCCGAGTCCAAATGTATGGTTGGTGGCTGATCCTCGATATGATCGAATTTTTCAGCTACCTTTGAGCGTAATTCCTCGAGTGTGGCAGCGACGACGGCTTTTTTGATATTGCGAGTCACATCCTTGATCTGTAAAGATACAAAAAAAATAAGGGTATTCAATTTAGTCAAAGTGATAAAAAAAAAAAATTCATTTTTTTATATTAATAGATTAAATTAAATTTTCTCTAATAACAAAATACATAATATTAGGTCAAGTAAAAAGTAATCTATTATTTTTGCAAAAGATGACTTTGTTGATCTGTATCTAGTGTGCTATAAGTGCAATTGGACACGTTAGATGGCACTAGTTAGATCATATCTTTAAACAAGAGAATGGAAGAACTGTTGATCGCTTAACTCAGTAATGTTTAAGTACATGCCAAAGATGGCCGAACCGAAAAACGAATATCAGGCAGCTGAAAATGTTACTAGTATTTATGGTCCTAATACCATCACCGTAAATCATGCACAATTTACCGTGATTATGACTTTAAAAAAGCTGTATACACAAGCCAGCTCCATGTATGGGTGTCACAAAAGTTAACGTGAAAAAGCCACATGGACTGAATTTCCATCTACAAATCACTGCTGATGCGGATGGTGACTGTTGGTGATAAGTGGATTACTTTCAACAACGTCAAGTGAAAACGGTCGTGGTCGCAGGACAATGGGCCGGAGAGGAAGGTTATGTTGTATATTTGGTGCGGATTGGCAAGGAAACAATCCTCTATGAACTGCTGCCATGCGGCCAAACTCTCTATTCGTTGCTCTGAGGGCAGCAATCGCCAAGAAGCGCTTAACTGTGGCCAACGGGAGTGGCATTGTGTTTCCCCAAAATAAACGCCAGACCACAAACATCGATAGTGACTAACCAAAAATTTCAGTCTGAATCTCGCACCAAGTGATTACCATCTGTTTTTCTCTTTGGCGAATGATTTGGTTGATGAAGAAGTGGCCTCAACAGAAGCCTGTGTAAATCAATTTACCAAATTTTTTGAAAGCCAAATATGAGAGATGTTTGTGGTCTGGCGTTTATTACCTTCAAAATGGCTGAGAGTCATTGAGCAAAAAGTCACATATTTGACGCTTCTAATCACTGAAACTATTTAAGGTCGAACTTCCTCTCCAATTTTTTTTGCGCGTCTTAATGATATTCCCACAAATGGAGGGATCTACAGTTTACACTAAGCCGCTGCCGGACAACTGGTTTTTTTATTATGCAGAGCTATTATTTCATGTCAGAAATACACTCGGAGGGAGGGATGGATATTTCCTGCCTTCGATTTAATACAATATATTATAAAAGTGCTCTTCCATTAGTAACATAGTAAACAGTTCACATCCATAAATACATATATTGAAATTATGCACTCTGACACTGGTATTCTTTTGCATTGTTAAATAGTTCTTCAAATCAATGGCATTCCCAGAGTTCTTTTTATGGCATATACATAGATATTGATATTGCTTCTTCTTCTTTATTTACTTTCAAATTCAGTTTACCTATTGGATTTTGTCTGCGCTTATCCTGCATCCCTATTTCCATCTCTTTACACTTCCTTGCCAAGTAAGCAAATTTAAATTGAATCAATAACTACGGCAAAAATTTTCTTTCGTTTGATTTTCACTCAAACACAAAGAGACGCAAAATTTGCAGTAATATCTAGAGAGATGCAAAAAAGAATAGAAATACATATATATTTCAATATATTATATATTTCAATATATATATGTTTTTACTCTTTAAGTTTTAAAGGCAAAAAAATAATTATATTTTTTGCATTTAAAAATATTTTTTATTTTTATGGTTTGAGCTTAAGTCGAAGAGCTGAGATTCAAGCTGATTTTTCATAACTTAAATAAAATTTCCAAATAAATTACACTTTTAAGTTCATGCTTAAATCACAACCACAGCACGAAGCTTTTGCTAATTGAGCGCCGACAGTGCACATCGTAAATACAATACATGCGCCACCGAATACTTACAACCTCTAGAAATATACTATTATATGTACAACACATATGCACATACATATTTATATAGGTACGTGCAATGTTATTCAGCATCTTGCCATTTATTGAGTTTCCGCTTTGCCGCCTCGTCTGCGCGAAAGTCTTGCGGCATAATAATTAATCAAACTGCCAATAAGCGTCATTACAGATATGTGTACGTATATGTAAGTATGTACAAGAGTGGGAATTTTATTGTTAGTGTTATGCTGGTGGTGGTGGTAGTGGTACAAAATTTATGGCTTGAGTATGGATCAAAAGGGCATACATGCCAGCCACTATAGGCAGTAATATAGCCGTACCTACAAATACCTTTCCATCAGGCAGCTTACAGTGCTCCATTTACTAGCCGTGAGCGAAAGCTTTAAAGTTGGGGTACATATGTTGGAACAAATGCATAAATACAGTGCATAAGCGCCCGAGCGGCATGCAGCAGGAAAATAAATAAATAAGGCAGGCAATAAATTTCAGATAAAGAAAAACAACAATTTTGAAGGTAAGCTAAATGGAAGGTAAGAATATAATTTCAGTGTGGCAAATAAAATGGGGTTTAAAAGTCAGTATTTAGTATATTGAACGATGGAAAAGTGAAATTGGAAATCTTATAGGTACAACGTTAACCTACAAAGCTGACATGAAGGCATAGTATTATTATTAAAATTGTGGAAGTTGAATATCTTCCGCTTTCTCAATCAGCTACTTGTACCCAAAATTGCAAATTATATCTAAGGTATGGAACATGAAATTCCTTAATTATTGTAGAATTGTGCCTTCATTATTTCCTACTCTAATTATTATATTTTATTTCAAATCAATTTAAATTTAATTATTAATTTAGGTAAAGCAAATGTTTGCATAAATTTAATTAAATAAATTAAGGCAAAAAAATTAAACTGTACTAAATCATAACTGAGAAATATATGAGTATACTAGATGTACCAAAAAAGTAACATAATTATGTCTTCAGCCGAACTGTCCTTTATGAATCTTCATTCATATATATATTTAATATGTATTATTTAGAATATTTGGCATGACTGTGGCGCCGTCTGCCGGAGTTCCATGCAAAATCCTTGTAATATCAACAATATCTGGCATGACTGCAGCGCCGTCTGCCGGAATTCCATGCAAAATCCTTGTAATATCAACAATATCTGGCATGACTGCAGCGCCATCTGCCGAAATTCCATGCAAAATCCTTGTAATATCAACAATATCTGGCATGACTGCAGCGCCATCTGCCGAAATTCCATGCAAAATCCTTGTTATATCAACAATATCTGGCCTGACTGCAGCGCCGTCTGCCGGAGTTCCATGCAAAATCCTTGTAATATCAACAATATATGGCATGACTGCAGCGCCGTCTGCCGGAGTACTATGCAAAAACGTTGTAATTTCAGCAACAATTTACAAATAAATAAATTCATTGTTAAAACATTATTTAGTTGATCGAATTGTGAATCTAAACCACTCTCAAGCCCCCTTGAATACACACACAAAATTTCATCAAAAACGGTCCTGGAGTTCAATTACAAACATACGGACAGAAGATTTATATATATATAGATCAAAAAAGAGTGAATTTAAAAACAAAACAAAAATACGGAAAATTTGTTTTCAATTTTTATTCTTAAATTTTTATCAACAGATAATCAGTTGCTGGAAAGAATTTGTTTTTCGTATTCTTAAGAAATGTAGAAAAAATATTGTATTTTTTATGGATACAATCATATCACGATTTACTGTAAAAGTAAATTCATACATAACAGAGGAGTATCCAATAATGTTAGGTAGTGTTCTTGGCCCAAAAATTTACAGATGACGAATAAAATTTCCAATTTGCATTGGCTTTTGAGCAAGAAATCTGAGCTCAAATCTAGAAAACAAAGTCTTTCTACAGGTCTTGAGTCAAAGAACACAGCCTTCGCGATAGATGTAGACCTATTACAAAAATTCCAATTGTAAACATTGAAAATAAAATGAGAACGGACGCACCATAGTACATGCGTTATGAAAATATCTATAGAGATATAAATATATGAACAATCAAAAAGGAATTTGCAATCTCTTTACACAAAAATACGTAACACAACTGCACAATCAGCTGGAACCTTTAGCCTCCGAACGAACCGAACGCGCCAGGAGAGGTGGGATTTCTAACCTTTGTAAAGGGCAACACTGAGCCAGGAGCCATCTCTTAGATATTGAGCGGTCATGTTTAGTTTAAAATTAGAATTTAAGGTTTGATTACTTATTGTGAGGCTTCCAATGTGCGATTTCAAGCAGAAGTGAAAGTCACTGCTAGACCAGCTTCATTCAAAAAAGTATGGTTCAATTATGCCACCAGACTCCAAAATTCACACCAAATGTGTCACTGGTGGTGGATGCAAATGTTTTCCGACAATCACCCGTGCGTTCTCAGTATCCTAAAAGGGGAAATTCTAACGCTGAGCAAATCCATCAAGGAGATACTCGATACACCATAAACTATCCAAAAAAAACTCTATTCGCTGTGCATGGTAGTGTTAATTGAATTTTTCAAGCATGGAGACTGATTCCTCCTAACCCCCTCAAAGTAGCACTCTTCGCTACTGGCTGGCTGTCTAGATATACTCAATCGACTTGAAATGGGTTGCTTTGATCACTGATTCAAGCTCTGTATTTGTAAAATCTACTGTTTGTGCGGTACTAAAATGAAATAATTACAAAAATTACAAATCTCAAAAATTAAACTTCATTTGTGGTCTAAATTGATTGCATTTCAGCTAAGCAGTGTGGCTTATGGCTGTCGTATGCGCATACAAATAGCCCTATTGCCTTTATGAGAGAATACAACGACATAGGACCACCATATTAACCCACACATGTTGCACGCAATAGACTGTATGACGCCAACAACGGAAATGATGTTTACAATGACGCGACAGACACTCGAAATTGCAATTTCGGCACTAGAGCCCTCAGAGCAAAAAGAAGGAAAATACTACAAAAACTGTCAAATCACACACACACCCAAGCGCAGAAGTCATAATTACTTTAGCTGACACTATTTATGCCGCCACTAACAGCAGTGGTGTTTTGACAGTTTACTG